TTTGAGTTTGTTGGAGATTTGTATATTAGTTAAAAAATATTGTTTGGGTTAATAATTAAGTAGGATTAATAATAATCATTTTATAATAGATCTCTTTTAGTATTAAATGAATTTTTATTTATTAGACCAAATAATATTCAAAATTACCATCTAGTAGTGGTAAGTACTAATACAACCAAATTTCCAATTAATAAAAAAAAAGATGAACAATTAAAAAATAAAAAGATAAACAAATTCCTACAAACAAAATTTTTCATAAAATATCTCAACATCATCATCCATTAAAAAACGAGTATCAGTCATTACAACGAATATTAATATTGTATTATATACTGATACTTAATACAATATCCATTAAAAGGATATTAATATCCGTTTATCAAACTATGTCCGACCGGGTATCTTATTATTATCCGTTTATTATTCAAAACTCTATCCAGATATCCTATCCATTTATCAAACTCTATCTAGATATCCGCGATATACTAATAATATGAAGAAAATTGAATATAATAGTTCTACTGAATATGAAAAGGCAAGGTCTTAGTGGGCTGCGATTGTGGTTCCAAGTTTTCGAGTTCTTCCAAGAGTCTTTAATGGTGGAGTAACAAATATGATCAAGCATCTAAAAAAAATGACTTGTGCTAATAGAACTACTTACTGCAAAGATCACAACACACCCAAACATGTTTGAGTTTTATTTTGAATATAAAAATAATGGACTTATATTAATTGGTGAAATGTGTACGAAGCAGGGGATTTACATATAAAAATTTGGGGCATATTTACTAATTCAAGGAAATAATCGAAATAGTTATACAACATACAAAATTCATATCACACCAAATTTGTGCAAATCAATAGGATAAATGTGAAAAAACATGAAATCAAAAAAAAAATCTTTATTATATGTTAGAAAAAAAGAAAGTTATGTACGAAGTCGCCATTTCGAAGTTTTGGGTTAATATTTTATATATAAAATTACTTATGTCGATTGTTTTTTTATAGTTTTTTAAATAAATAAAAATCTTTTAAAGAATATAAGACGTTATATGTGATGAGTTGGGTGTTTTTATATTGGTGAAGTTTGCCGTTTTGTTGGAACAGATCATAAAGGAACAACTTCGCATATAGTAGTAAATGAGTTCTTTGTTTTTCATATGTTGGATTTGTGATGAAGCCGCCATTTTGAATAATAGTAAATTTACTATGAAATTAGCCCTATGATTTTATTAAAAAATCCCCTGGTTGATAGATGATCTGCGAATTAAGACAAAAATGATGATTGACATTGCTAAGACTGAGAGTAATTTCCTTAAAAACTATGCATTACCAAGCTCAGGGAGAAATATAAATCGATTGACTCATTACTGCCAGAAGAAATGGGTTATAAATCAGTTCACAAAGACTTTAAATTATGAGGCTTATATGATAACTGTCAACATTTCCGAAATGACCTACAATATAAAAAGGAGAGGCTAAAGACTTACTAAAGAAATATAAAGAACATCTAGCAAAAGCAAAATTAGAAAGAAGTTATTATAACAAAATACAAAATACCAAATTAGCAGAACAACAAAGGAACACCATGCTGGACTACATTTTGTTGTACACTCTTGTTCAGCATAGCGTACCATAATTGCGATTGAGTTCAAAACCACATTCTTCCCGATCAACAGGCAAGTAAGATATGTTATCTTAATGAAAGGTCCATCTGTCTGGTATTCAAGACGAAGAAATACATCTACAGTGTGTAACAAAAATAATTGGAAAAAATAAATCAAATGTTGTAGAACAACAACAGAACCAAAATGAACAGGTGATATCACATTTTAAACATCATCACTTATAGATTCATTTTATTATAAATTAATATGGTATTCTTTCAATAACCAATTCACAACGATCTTTCTTTAGTTGATTAAATTAGTTAAAACATTATTTGGAATATTATCCCATTTCTCCTTCATAAAATATTTTAATTCATCACAATTTTTTGGCATCTTCTTTCAAAATTTCGTTTAACAATACTCCAGAGGGGTTAAGGTCAGGACTGTTGGATGGCCAGTCCATTAATTCAGGAACATTTTCATTGAGAAATGCTTGGGCAATTCTACTGGTATGTTTAGGATCATTGTCCTGTTGGAATCCCCAGCATTCATTTACCTCTGGAATATGATTTCTAAGTATATCCACATAAAAATTCGCATCCATTATTTGACTAAAGCAAATAAGATTCGTTTTTCCATTTACACAAAATCCACCCCATACTAAAATTTTTGTTCTGTCTTTTGGTATGTGATGAACTGGCTTCACACCTTATGCCAATGCTCTACTGTGTTCCTGAATAATTGAAAGGCTGTCTCATCGGTGAATAACCTCTTTGACCAGTCATTATTTAATTGTTTCCTTGCCCATTCAACTCTTTTCTCCTTGTGAACCATTGTTAGCATAGGAGCAGCTTGTGTAAGGCTTTTCTTATAACCATGATTGGATAAATGTCTCGAAATAGTCATGTGAGATACTTCTATTCCTTTTTCTGCTACTTTATTTACCAATGATCTTACAGAAATTGAAGTATCTCTTCTGATAGTCTGCCCAATTGAATGTGCAACATCCGCAGTAATTTTTTTTGGCCGACCATTACCACCTTTATGCAAAATATTATTCGTCTCCTTAATTTTTTTAATATTAAAATATTTAGTAGGAAGGGGAATCTTTTTGTTAAAGTGTCAAATTCTTTGGCAGACTTCACACCCTAGTTCCATAAATGTAATAGAGTCTGACATTGTCTTTCTTGGTCAGATGTAGACATTTTGAAGTTAATTTTTTACAACAATGCAAATTGGGTTTAATTTGAATACAAAACATGCTTTTAAATGATGGTAACAATTTTCCAATTATTTTTGTTACACGCTGTATGTTCTTGATGATGAAGAACCGGTAGGAAATGGTCCTAATGGTATTATACTTGGTATGGTTTTTATAGAATTAAAAAATTAAAATAAAGAAGATTACAAAAAAAATAACTTGTAATTATTATAAAAGTTTTTGAAATACCTAATTCAAGACTAATCAAAAACTTTATAGAAAAACAAGTGTATATTGTGTGGGATCATGTTGTAGATATTGTGAAAAGATCTCCGAATTGAATAAAGCTCGATAATATATGAGGAGGATTTCAACATTTGATATTAAGTCTGGTTTATTTCAAGTTTGGCATTAAAAATTTCAACATTTTCTTTTTTGAAGCTTCTGATCCTGGCGTGGTAAAATAAAAACTCAAGAGATTGCTAACGATCCCTTCGCGAATTCAAAATTATTGATAATTAACACATTGTATTGTACGACCAAAATCGTTTTGTTCACTTTTATGAGATAGATACATCATCGTGTAAAACAAATACAATAGATTTATTCCTTATTAAAAATTATTCTATATAATCTTAATCTTGATCAAAAAAATTTGCAATATAACCGATAAGATAAACAAATGGGGTGTGGACAGCAAAAAGGCCGAATTTTTTTATAAAACGTTTTTAGAAAAAGGAATTGCAGATCTTTCTAATATGCCTGTCATATGAAGTATCCCATGCAAATATGGTGGGTATGTTTCTAAGCTCGAATGCTTTCTGCGCCTATAATACATGTAATTATTATTATGCCATTATCTCAAAAAACGACCAGAAATCAAAATTCGGCTTTTTTGGTTGTTTGCGTCCCAAATAAGGGAGTTTTTTGAAAAGACGTGTTTTGTATTTAATGAAGATTCGACGACTTTGTTAAAATTTTAAGTGATCTATATATATACAATCAAAACTCATTTCAACGAATTTATGGGACGCATATGTGAATCGCATTTAAAATTCGGTTCAAAATTATTAATCACGTTTCAAACGTTACAAAATGATCAGTAAATTTATGCCAAGTTAGGAATCAAAATTGATGTGCTAGTATAGGGTTGTGCTTCGTTCACATACAGTACTGGTACAATATGTGTTCGTTTCAACGAATCCCACGGTACTGATCACCAAGAGAAAATTCGCAATGATCGACATTGTATACACAATGAGTCAGCATAATGGACATTCGTTTATCACATCGTGACTTGGATTTCATTGGCTAAATTTTACGATGATCACCCTCCAAAAAATCACACAAAAATCAAATTTTATTGGCTTGAAGATCTTTTACAAAAACACATAATTTATAATTTATATATATATACAACTTTAAACAATTACTATTAATAAAAAATTTTATTTTTCAAATTGTCAAATATTAAAATTGTTTTAGGATGGTCAACATCCAATGTAGTTAATTGAATATGAATATAAAATGTATGCATAAAATCATAATAAATAGTTTCCTTTGCAATCCCAATCATTTTTCCTCTTTGCATTGGGTGGGTAATTAACCAAATATGAAGAAGAATGCACTTCAAAAATTATAAATGCTACAATTATGAACACATGTGTTTTTTCCTACCAAAAAAATGTAGATTTCCCATCTAATATTAACACATTCACATCATTTTGAATGATATCAAATATTCATATGTATATATCCCTTCCACATATAAATTGAATTTTACATCATGATCAATAGTTTCTACAGATAAGGCGTGTTAATTTTTATTGGGATGATATCTTTTGTGAAATAAAATGCTTGCAGATGGCATAGCATTAAGATTATGATTATGAGTTGATGCATAGCATTAAAATTATTATCATGAGTTGACACATTATTAAGATAAGGATTACAAGTTGTCGACACCATTAAAATAATGATTATGAGTTGTTGACATAACATTAGGATAAGGATTATGAGCTGCCTTTAATGTGGCATTATTTCCAAAGCTTTGAAGGAGAGTGTTTTGCATATATATTTCACACCTGTCTTTGGCATAGTCAACTTTAACCTCTTTGTATGCGTATTTTGATGGTAGTGATTTAACTGCTCTAATGGCACTTGAAATATTCAAGAAATGAACTAATCCAATCTTTTTTCCTCTGATAATTTGAATAGTATCAATATTACCATATTCAGCCAAATCTCTATGTAAAATCCTTTCAGTGAACGAATCATCCAAATTTCTAGGAGAACGTTACGTGAAGCATTGTTTTCATCAACAGCTAATTGAACACCTAAAGGTACAGCTGATGGTCTACCACAACTAACGTAAAGTTTTTGACCTTCATAAAAAATTTGTTTGGTCATAGCTTCATCATAAAATGCTTTTGCAAGAATAGCATTCATAAAAGAAATGAAGGCACAAGTGTTGTCAGGATGGAGTTTGACAGACTCTAATGGACCAACTTTGATTTGATTTATAAGTTTATAAACTTCTACATTTGATGGTAAATTTCCAAGATATACAGTTCGTCTAATAATATTTGTAGAATATTTTTGATAAATTTTTGAAGGTCGATTTATGGATTGCTTTAATCTCAACGGAGCAGCTTTATGATAATAATCAGCTATTATTGCTTGATAGAAATGTTTTGTAAATAAAAAAAAATATTTAATTTTCATTACCTCTTGTTAAAAAAACATTGTCACTACTATGATTTGGATTATACCTTGCTTTTTTAGTATTATCGTGACTTCAATTACCATTATCGTTACTACGTTTCATGATAAAATTTTGATTGAAGCTTTGAATATTAAATCTTTGGGAAACAAACGTAAAAATAATGTATATAATCTATATGTATATAAATATAAATAATGAAGAAAAAATAAAGTAAAAAGAATAAATTAATAAAGTCCCTTATATAAGTAATTCCCACGCAAATATACTTAAAAAATACATTCTAGATATAATATAATATGAATAAATAAATAAATATCTCTATATTGTCTTAATGATACAAATAAAAATTTTAATCTAATGCTGATTTCATTTTAATCGATGAAGGAAGTTGTTGATAAATGATCTTCATCTTGAACTTTAGCTAAAGTTGAATTCCTGCACCATTTCAACTGTCGTACATATCGTATACACTATATGTATTGTCGCCACGATTTATTTTTTCCTCATCTTCATTACTATTTTCATCTGAATCATTATGATAATCATCCTCATCTTCATCTTCAAGGTAATTATCAAAATCATATGGCATTTCTTCTGAATCGCTTATTTGTTCAGAATTTCTTTGTGATTTCTATATACATATATTAAAAAATTATTATTGTTAATATATCATTGAAAAAATACATGTTGTTTTTATTATTATTTATATGTATACAACGTACCTTTATACTCACAATACTATTCTTTTTCATGATAGATTTTTCAGGTGCAGAAGTGATTATAGTTGATGGTAGTCGAGGAGCTGTTTCAGTGATGTTGTCATTAGATTGGAAACGTACTGACTTTTTACGTGCTAAAGTTGGGCCATTTTTTTCTTTGTCATCACCATCACTTTACACACTGTATTTGATTGCAGATCTCGATTTAATGGGTCTTTATTAACGGGTTTGAGGATTTAGAACATAAATCGTAATAATAACAGGGGGTTTTTTTAATTGCTGTTAAACCAAGACTCGGTGTAACCAAATAAAAACGTTTGCCTTTAAATGTTGTTGTTCCTCATATAAAATCGATTCGTCTATTACTATGCGTATTTTAGACTCGGGTAATAAATATCACACGACCTTTGGTTTCAAGTTTCATGCATGCAATCTTCAAAATTAACCAACGAAAAAACATTTCCCTGCGTATATACTGATATTAAGTAAAAGTTGTCCTACGATGCAAGATTGATTTATTTACATTTGGATAAGAAAAAAATTTATAATTAAGCAAACCATTGGATCTCATGCAGGTGCATTATTATTGTTGTTACTATTGTTATTAAAATTATTAGTATGATTAGTATTAGCTGAATATGAAAAAAATAACCCAAATTGACCGAGTGTCCGTCCAATGAAGTGAAACCAGACTTTTTTTTTGTGTTTTGATATGGCTTGGAAATTAAAGAAACCAATGGTTTCTTTTGATATGGTCATGTTTATATTAATGATTGTAGATCACCATATAATGAATCTGTAAATAAAAATCAGTCGAAAATATACCATCGTCTTTTAGTACATGAAAATTATAGTGCGTTTTTTTGGCCCATTTCCCGTGATCAATTTGGATATGCATAGAAATTGAGTTGTTGCAAAAGAGACTTCAACAATTATTACCTGAAGATTAGTGAATTAATAGTAAAAAAAAATATAGAGCTGTTGATTTAATTGAATAATGTAATAAGCATTAATAACAGTAATTTTAATAATAACTACGAGATTGATAGTACACATTTAAACGAATGGATCTCAGCAAGAATAGGAATTATCTTTGACACTTACCTGTAATAATATTAGTTGGCATTTATTTTTAAAAATTAATCGAATAGTTTTTATTAATTTCTTCTATTTATCTATCCATAAATATATTATTAAAAACGTAATTACGTGTATAATTTTCAAGGTTTTTTTTCATCCTGTGAACAAAAATTATATATTAATATTTCATTTTCATTCATTGCTTACATGTATAGATTAAAACAATTATTATTAAAGTCCAATCAATCGATCAATTAAAATAATTAGATTACATAATATAAAATGTTTGTAGCTAAATAAAAATAAAATATTAAAAAAAAAAAATAAAATAAAAAAAATTAAAATACACATTAGAATTTGAGCTTTACAATAATGATTTTTATATTTTATATACATAATATGTATATAAATATAAATAATGAAGAAAAAATAAAGTAAAAAGAATAAATTAATAAAGTCCCTTATATAAGTAATTCCCACGCAAATATACTTAAAAAATACATTCTAGATATAATATAATATGAATAAATAAATAAATATCTCTATATTGTCTTAATGATACAAATAAAAATTTTAATCTAATGCTGATTTCATTTTAATCGATGAAGGAAGTTGTTGATAAATGATCTTCATCTTGAACTTTAGCTAAAGTTGAATTCCTGCACCATTTCAACTGTCGTACATATCGTATACACTATATGTATTGTCGCCACGATTTATTTTTTCCTCATCTTCATTACTATTTTCATCTGAATCATTATGATAATCATCCTCATCTTCATCTTCAAGGTAATTATCAAAATCATATGGCATTTCTTCTGAATCGCTTATTTGTTCAGAATTTCTTTGTGATTTCTATATACATATATTAAAAAATTATTATTGTTAATATATCATTGAAAAAATACATGTTGTTTTTATTATTATTTATATGTATACAACGTACCTTTATACTCACAATACTATTCTTTTTCATGATAGATTTTTCAGGTGCAGAAGTGATTATAGTTGATGGTAGTCGAGGAGCTGTTTCAGTGATGTTGTCATTAGATTGGAAACGTACTGACTTTTTACGTGCTAAAGTTGGGCCATTTTTTTCTTTGTCATCACCATCACTAGTTGATTCTTTTTCTTTTTCTTTTTCTTCTTTTTTTTCTTCTTTTTCTTCTTCTTTATTTGAATCTGATTTTTTTATTTCATTATCATGATTATTTTGTCCATCTTGATTTGCTGATGCATTGGTATTATCAGACTTTGTGTCTTTATTGGTATTATTGTCCAAATCATTACTATCACCATGTACTTGCTTCTTAGCTACAACAGTAGCCTTCACGTTTTTTACTTTTTCAGCATGTCGTTTCAATGCTTCGATATCAAATAGTGGCAGTGGTGGTGGACCTCTGAAAATTCCAGATGAAGATGTGTTTGTTGCTGTTGTTGGTTTAGCGAAAGGTCTTGTGGTGGAAGAAATTGGTAATGCTTTAAGACTATTTAGGCCTGAATTACTATTCCTTGCGATGTTCAAATCTGATGAACCAAGTTTAACAAATCCTGTTGGTTGAGATAATTTTGGTTTTATATTTGTAGTTATTTTAGCATTTGATGTTGCAGTTTTATTTGGTTCATTTACATGTTTATGTTCTATTTCAGTTTTAGGTTCAGGCACAATTGATTTTTGTATGCTATTATTGCTATTGTTGTCATCATTGTTATTGTTGTTGCTATTGTTGCCATTTTGAACTGTAATGGGGATTTCATTATCAATTATTTCAATTTTCATATTTGATTGAGAAGGTGTTACAAAATCAGATAAAATAGGGTCAGAAACCAGCTCTTGTTGGTTTTGTTCTTTGTCCATCATTTGTTCATCTTTTTCTTCATCTCCGTATTCGCTTTTTTCTTCATCTTCATGTTCAATTTTTTCTTCATCTTCATGTTCAATTTTTTCTTCATCTTCATTTTCGTTTCTTTCTTCATCTTCATATTCACTTTTTTCTTCATCTTCATATTCACTTTTTTCTTCATCTTCATATTCACTTTTTTCTTCATCTTCATACTCACTTTTCTCATCATTTTCATTTTCATCATTAACATTATTATCATTATCTTCCGCTTCTTTCACTGATTCCTCTATCACTAATTCATAGTCCTCGTCGTCTTCCTCTTTCGCTACTTCTTTTTCTTTAATTGGTGAAGATGGTGTTAGTAGTGGTGATTGAATTCTTGGTGATGGAGGGGGAAGTGGGAGTTGATTTGTTGGTAATGGTGACTGTGGTTCTTGTGTAATGTTATTGTTGTTAATGTTATTTTGTTCTGAAATAGGTATTACTTCAACCTTTTCTATTTTCATACTTGATTGTACAGGGGTAACAACGGTTGTTGGAGTGACCAAAGGTTTTATAAATTCAATAGATTTATTAGAGTCTTGATTATTTAAATTTAATGGAGTAGGAATTTTATTTTTATTAGATTTAAATGATTTTGGTGTAGTATCCATCTCATTATTGATGTTAACATTGTTGTTATTCGCTGATATTTCATGATAATTTTCTTCTTCTATTGAAATTCTAGGAGAAATTGCAGGAGGTGGAGGCATTGATTTATCTGTGGTGTCGGGGGTTTCTATTTTTTCAATTTGAAGAATACTTTGATTTGGTTCAACAAAGTTCATTTGAATATTTTGATTTGAGGAAGGTTTTTCATCAACTTTATTATTACTGTTATAATTATTTTCGTTGCTATTGTTAACATTATTATTATAACTGTTGTTGTTATTGTTATTGTTATAACCATTATTGTACATATCGCTCATATTTAATATAGGACTAGGAGGAGATAAAGCTTGTGATGGCTTTATTATTGGTGATTCAATATAGTTTGATGTTGATGTTACTATTATAGCAGGGTCAACCTTATTATCATCAAGATCGTCATCTGTATCATCTCCTGTGAACTGAGATAACATTTTTGCTAAATCTTTTAATGGATGAGAATCGGGACGTTCTCCACCGTGACCAATGAGTGGTGAAAAACCAATATTATCACCAATGTCCATGCCACTTGTCATTTTTTCTATTTCTTCATGATCAATGACCACATGTCCTTGATTATTGTCTTCATAATCATCATCATAATCATCATTGTCATCATCATCATCATTCATATTAATATTCCTATCAGTTATTATTGGATTATTAATTAACTTAGGTGATGATGGAATTGAAGATTTGATTGTAGGTGAAGATGATGTTGAATTTATCATTAACATTGGATCAATATTTTGTGTATGCAATTTTAAACCATTGTTTTGATTTTGATTTTGATTATTATTATTTGACATTTGAGTAGTAGGACCTGGCATTATTGGTGGTGGTAATGGTACTGGTGCCATATTATTATAATTATTATTTGCGTTGTATGGTGGTTGTGTTGATGGTTGTGCTGATGGTAGTGTTGATGGTGGTGTTGATGGTGGTAGCGGCATTTGTTGTAGTAATTGTGAATTATATGAATCATTATAATTATTAAGATCATCATAGTTATTTATGTTATTCATATTATTATTATAATTGGAATTGTCATCTGATAAAGGTATATTGAAATATTGATCATTGTATTGGTTATTATCATTATAATCTTTTAGTGTGGCTAAAGGTGGTAGTTGTTTATCAATAGTGGTAGTACCTTGGAATGTTTGAGAAGGTCCATTTGATGATGGTGGTGGTAATTGAGAAGGGGGCACAACCAAAGTGAAATCTTTGAACTTGTCATCATCACCACCATTACCAATAGATCTTTCAGAAGCTCCATTGGAACGTTTAGAAGTAAATTTGCGTCTAATAAAAAATCCTATTAAACCTGCGACAACCAAACCTCCCATAACAATGCCGGCCCAACCTGTAGCACTAATATTATTAGTAACAACCCGATTGTTTTCAGAATCAGATAATGATTTATTTTCTAAAGATGTATTGGGAGTTTTTGCGGAAACGTTGGAATCAGAAGTTTTAGTTTGAGCTTTTTGTTGTAAATAAGTAGATGATGTCGATATCGATGTAGTTGGATCAGGAGTGTCAAAAGTAGCAGGAATGACAGGAGTAGGAATGACAGGAGTGGCAGGAGCTACTGGTTGTAGCGATGTCGTTTTCTTTCCTTCTGGTGCTTTTACAACAGGAGGCTTTTTTTTTGGTGCTGGTTTTTTCTTTGGTGCTGGTTTTTTCTTTGGTGTTGGCCTTTTCTTTGGTGTTGGCCTTTTCTTTGGTGTTGGCCTTTTCTTTACTACTGCCTTTTTTGTTGGTTTTTTTACTGCTGGCTTTTTTGTTGGTTTTTTTACTGCTGGCTTTTCTTCCGTTGGTTCTTTTTTAACTTTTGGTTTTTTAAAAATAAATAACATTTAATTATAATATAACACGGATAGATGCATAGCATCAGCATTGAAATTCTTTTTTTTACCTGTTCGTTTGTTTTCAAGTTGAACATGCTGGCTGTTAATCGGATCCATATTTCTTGTATCTCTTCTCTTGAATTGAATTATTTATTTTGTTTTTTTAAAAAAGTAATGCACAGCATCAAAATATTTACCAAGGATAATTAAAAGAAAAATAAAAAAAAAACAAAAAATAATAAAAATGATCTATGTAAAATTGTATGTGAGTATAAATATAAAGATAAATATATATATATGTAGGAAAAAAAATGAGTAATGTTTGATAGTAAAGGGGATGATGGATGGTGATAGGATGATGATAAGGATAGAAAAGTATAAAAGAGGTGATGATATGAGAGGGGAATGAAAGAAGGAAGGCAAACGAAAAGAGGAGAGTGGAAAAAATATTTTAAAGAGAATGTGTATGAAAAGAAAAAAGACGTTAAACGTCTATATGACAAAAATTTATTTTTTCCCTTTGCAGAAGAAAATCTTTTTAAGAAAACTAATTATGCGAGCATATAAATAGATGCAGTTAATTAATATTAATATCATTGTAACAAAATATATTATTACTATTTGTTTACTTATTAAACATCAATTTTGTTTGTAAAAATTAAATTGCAAATCATTTTCCAAATCTGGAGATACTTTTTTTTTGTCAAAAGGCAATTTATTATTTGGTGTAATGGTAAAAGATTTAATTTGTACAACAACAGTAAGAAGATTATTCGTTCTCACTACTAAGTTGATGGCGATTTTTTATTTTTGTGATCTTTAATGACATTTCTTTCGTTGTTAGAAATAAAGAGAGAGAGAGAAACTAAATCTTGTCGTTGTAAAAACAACAAAACAACGCTTATTTCTTTTTTTTCTAGAAGAATTTGATAAATTATTTCTAAATAAAGCATCACAAGAATTACAAATAACCAAGCAAGTAATAAATATGTCGTAGCACGTGACATGTAAGCAGTTGTCCGAACAAATAATATATTCCGGTATTAAACACAAGCATTATTAATATTATGAGATATGTGCCGTAAGATGGTTTCGTCTTATAAGCCTAAACTTTTAGCCTGCAGGACAAACCAGTTTCGCCCAGCATGTTTAATTTCGAGAAGATGGCTTTTTCACAAAAATTGGAATAATGAAAAATTAATTTTATTTAAAAAAACAAAAAAATGTTTAATATTTATTTTAATTAAAGAAAAAATTAGATACATGAGAATCTTAATTTACTAACGAACGAACCATTCAACAATGCACTTGTTGAACGCATACTACCATTCTCACTATCACTATCATTATTATTTTTCTTTTCAATCTTTTTTATTTTAGGTGATTTGATTGGTTTTTTATTTTTATTATATGAGCATTTATTAGTTTCCTTTCCAGTTGGTTTTTCTGAATCCGAACATTTTTTCTTCAAGTCAGAATAAAAAATTGGTGTATCGCCGGTGACACGTGGTTTTTCTCCTCCCAAATTTTTCATTGTAAAATCAATACAATTTAATAGTACTTTAACAAAACCACATTCCAATATTATCACATCAAAGCTACGATGAATACCTGTTTTTATTGTATATAGTATGTAGCATAATATTCCAGATGCTAAATATTGATTATTATTGGCGTTATCCGATTTATCATCTTTAACCAACTCGTATAATGATATTAAACTTTTCTCATCTCTGATTTTATTTGATCTGTTGAAAGTAAAAATTCCATTATTATTATATGGGTGGAATAAAAATATTTTAAAATATTACAAACTTATTTTCTTACCCGTCTGAAATATTTAAAACTGATTTTAATTTATTTGTATTTGACAAGTAATTATGTAAATCTCCACCTTGTATATGTTCAAGCACTATCGTATAATTTTTTTCATGATCCAATGTAATTCCATAGTATTCATTAATATTCTCATTATAAATAGTTATATGTCCTTTTAACTAGTGATTTGTAATATTTTAATTAGTAAACTTTTTTTGCAAATTTTAAAATTCTTATTTTACAAATTTCTTTTCCTACCTCTTTTATTATCAATGAAATATCCTGTGATTTATCAATGCTTTTTAATACAACTGTTTTTTTATTACACAACCAATAAGCAGTGTATACTACACTAAATCCTACTTTAGTTAAATATTTGACATTAGAAAATTCATCATATGAAATCCATTTTATTTTGGTTCTATTCATTTTACATTCATAAAGAAATTTTGCTAACTTTTTATTTTTGCACTTTGACGTTAATTTTTCAATTTCATTAATGGTCGTCATTTTTATTGATAAATAAATGCAAAAGACAAAAACTTCAACCTTTTATAAGTTAAGCAGGAAAATATAAAAAAAATAATTCGACGGAAAAATTATGTGATTATATTGATAACATTATTCCAAAATAATTTTATTTCCTTTTTTAAATTCCTCACTCAGTGTTGAAATTTCGTTGTGTAACTAGTACAAATTTAGAAACTATCTCCAAAAATTAAAAAATTGATTGGTGTGTAATGTTACACACAGGCATGCGGGCATTGAATTTTCAACACTGATTCCAATGGTCATTGATTTGTCTGATGATGAAGAGCTTAAAAGATTACACATTATAAAAGCTGTTGATCCAAAGTTGGTTGGAAACTGAATCTGTTAATGGAAATATTTAGAATTTGTAGAAATTGCAATGAAACAACAGTATTTGCAAAAGGTACATCTTCAATAAGGGTAGGAAGAATTAAAGAACACATGAAAACCAATGAACATAAAAAATCTGAAGAATTACTTGAACCAGATACTTCAAGAATTAGTACAGAAAAATTAAAAATTAATTCTTTAATGAGAATTATTTACTGCTGTTCAAAAAATAATATTCCTTTAAACACCTATCCTGATTTGTGCAAATTAACATCTTTACAAATTGAAAATAATAATAATAAAAATTGTAATTAAAAAATAGATGTGCACATGTTCTGTGTAACGTGATACGTGGCGATTGAATTTTCAACACTGATAATTTCCATTGTCTGGGAATTTAGTTATACCATAGCAATTACAGTCAGTGTTCTTTCCAAATTTAGGTATAGAAATTTACGCCTCTTTGTCAATCAATTCATATATTTTTCATATGATACAAATGAGTTAACGTGACACTTTGTGCTTTTTGAAAAAAAAAGTTTTTTAAAAAAATTACTATTATAATTATTTAAATAAATACTACAATATTTCTCTTCCATAATCTGTTAAAAATCTATAAAAATCTATTGTTTTCATCAAAGTATACTTTTGTTTAAATTCAAGAAATTCTGTAACAGAAGTTCAAATGATTTGGTTTTTTACTCAATTTACTAACTTATTTATTTTATTTT